TTCACTGTCAGAAGACATTGGTAAGAATTTTACAAATGTTTCTTTTGACTCATCTTGGTGAGCATCGGCCCAAATTGTACACAAAGGCAAGTTTTGCACATCACTGATAACCTGGCAAGAGCTCAAAGGAGTCCTCCACGGTATCAATTTGGGACTGCTCCAATGTGATCTGCCGGGAAAGGCGCGGCAGTTCAATACAATACTTGGAGCTGATTGGGCGATGCTGCAACTTGTGCATGCCTACCAAATTTTTGTTTTGACCAATCATGGCAACGGCAATCCAAATACCGTAGATAAAAAAACGCACAAGCATCTTTCCCAGCTAAAAGTGCACACAGCGCCTCTTGCTGTTCTTTCAAAAAGGACATTTCTGCAAGAACAGAATTAATTGCAGTGTGCATGCATTCATCCATAGGTGTCGCCATGTTTGGTTGGTTTCTTTCCCTGGCCTCAGAGCTTCTTGTTTTTGTCCCAGTCACATATCTCGCCGTCGAACACGCTGTTGCTTTGTGATTGGACCAGCAATGGCGCTGCCTTGGAAAAAAATCAGCGTGCTCGGGACAAGATGGCTTCTCTGGGTTTTGTGAACTCACAAATACTACGAGAATTCAGCTTGCAGGCAAGGTTACATCACTGATAGTTCAAGGAAATTTTGTGGATTCAGAAATGACTGATTTTATTTGCTAATTTGATTTGTAAATTGCAAAAAGTACATAGGGTTGAATTTTAGATTCTTTGTCCTAAAAATTAGATGTGTTGCAATGCTTTTGGTGCGTGTATCAATTCTTCATTTTGTTTATGTAAGACTGATATTGATACAAATATAATTCTGCACTGTATAATTCCGATATTAAAATAGCCATCTCGACCACAGATGAAATTAGCTGTTTGTCATATGATCTGCAGTACAACCAGTGGCATGCAGTCAGGCCCTTTAAGGCCTTTTCTGCTGACCCAAACACTATCAGAAGCACAGACCTGCATTTACAACTCACAACTGAAATGTAATCATTACTATTCAACAATCTTTTTTCTTAATTTTAGAGTTTGTGTCTTGGCTACGCAGCTTCCAGGCGATTGTGTGTGTTTTTGTTGTTTTTTTTTTTTTTTTTTGGCCCAATCACATTTCAGCTTCGATGTGCTGCCATACAAATATTATTTGCCCAACGCCTTCAGAAGAGTGTTGGTTGCAGGTGAAATGACTGTTTTGTTTTTTTTTGAGGGGGGGGGGGGTTACCATTCATGTCTTACATTCATCGCTCTGTGCCTTCCATAATCAGAGATGTCACTATTTTTCCATCCTCTGATGGGTTCAGCTTTGTTCATCCCTCTGATTGGTTGATCTTACAATGCACACCAAATATTGATTTACAGAAGAATAAGTAGATTTTATGAGGATTGGTCATCCAACAATGTTGCTGGCTGCCTTTGGCTTGTTTCCAACTGTAAATTGACTAGGGCATTTTCAGAGAAGAACAGTATGTATGAGTGGAACTGTTTGCGCACACAGACAGGCAGGAGCAAAAGGAGGTCTGCTGCGTCTGCATCAGCATCTCTGGTGAGCGCTGTATATTTTATTTAATGTTTTTTACATTGCTAAATATTAATTATGAACTGCTGTATTATTGTAGAGGTTTGAAGTTAGAAGTTAGAAGATAAAGGTAACTGTGTCTCTTGCTTTAGTAATACATGGTATACATCCTCACTTACGCAAAATGGGTCGTTCCATGAATCACTCATTGAGTTGAAACAAGCTGATTTGTATTTTAATAAAACTTTCTGTACTTGTTGATAATGATGGAACAACACTACAGTAAATCTAAAATTTTAGATCAATCGGAGCAGGAGCTATGGACCACCAAATTTGGACATTTTCGGCAAAAAGGTGCGTGGCTGCCCTATTTTAGATTCTAAAACATGTTCACACTCATATCCATAGTTATTGTGGAAAGACATTCAAGTATTCAGCACTAATGATTTGTTTATTTATTTAAAATGGTAAGCGGGTGTCACAAAATCCAGGAAAAAAAATGTTCAATATGAATATATTTAAAATGGTTATTACTAGTAACCATTATTGGACCTCATGGCCAGGTCTAATGGTTCAACTTCTTCAGTTGATGAAATCTCAATTCAAACCACTGAATACCAAAACAAAAGTAGAACATGAAATACGGTTCTTTCAAATGGGGAAGCAGCACATTGACAATACCTTCACTACAATTAACTCTTGAAGTAGAAAAGCTAACAGATTCAAATGTAAAGCAATTCCCAATTCATATTTCTACAAATTGTAATATCAAAGGATGGCTTGGTGACCCAGTGGTTAGCACGTCGACCTCACAGTGCAGAGGTACCGGGTTCAATTCCAGCTCCGGCCTCCCTGTGTGGAGTTTGCATGTGCGGGTTTTCTCCGGGTGCTCCGGTTTCCTCCCACATTCCAAAAACATGCATGGCAGCACACCCCGCGATCCTCGTAAAGATAAGCGGATCGGAAAATGAATGAAGGAATGTAATACCAAATAAATTCTGTCCACCGCAACCTCTCCCCCCCATCTGATATGTGCAGTCCAAGTTAATTTTATTTTATGTTTCAAATCAATTTATACATTAACATCTGCCAAGCATGAGGTGAGATTAAAAAAAAAAAAAAAAACCACTCCTGGAGACGTGGCTGATCTACAAATTAATTACAGACATCTGTGATGACTCACATCAGACACATGAATGGCAGAAAAGGTGATGTCATTTGATCGAGGCTGAACGACACTGCATATAAAATCTGAAACGTTCATCGTGGCAAAGGAAAAATATTTATGAATCTCCAATGCTCTTTTGACTCGACAAAACTGAATTACAGACATTTGCAACACATACAGTTTAGCTGTAAAATGTTATGGAAACCTTGCCAATACCTGTAAGCCATAATATATCTGCTTTATTTTATTATTTTTTTTTTTACAAAATACAGTATATACAACATCAGGCGATGCAATGAACATCTTTTACATACATATACATGAATAAATTATGTATTAAAAATAATTAGTTATAGTAGTAATAATAAAGAAAACATCGTACTCTTTAAATATTTTCGAATGTATACCAATTATTGATCTACATTTTAAAATTTGTTATTAGATCAACTGACTTTAAACAATTGTCCACCTCAAACAAAAATAATTTAAATAACAGGCAGAATTCACAAATTTATATTTATGGATGTGAGATTTTCCAAAAAAAACATAAATTAACAATAGTACACATTTTTTTGTCAGAATATATCAGCTCCTGTGTCCTTAAATAAAATATGACATCACTTTAAGCGGGTGGATTTGATTTTCTAACACACTAAACATAGCCATGTAAACAACCGTGTGTGAACAATGTATTTTTTCCTCTAGAATGTTTATTGAGTCTTTCATTCGTAAACATTTACAAACACACAATTGATTTGTGAACAATGTGTACATTGTCGTTACCCCGAAGTGACGTCCACGTGACGCCTTCTGACGTTGTCCACAACAAAATCCATACATCGAAACATTCAATTTGAGTTTTATCGAAGACATGCATGCCTCCGGTTGCGTGCTAGCTAGCTAAATGACGTCATACGTTGCCCCACGGTTCTGAACCACCACGTTCACTATTGCTCGACTTATAAGTTGTCATTTTTATTTCTAACATTTATACACAGAAGCCATGAAAAGACACGAAAAGAACAATGTGGTTTGGCTACCTGTATTTAGATTTCCTCCGTCCTCGTGGCTCAGCGTCCGTCAACACAAACGTCGGCTGTCAGTGTGGAAGAGGAAAGTAGGTGAAAGGTCGCAGGAGGAGGCAGTGCAATATGACATAACAGCGCTCCTGTGTCCTCAACCCTTGTATCCATCCACTCAGCCTACGTTGATGTATTGTCTCTTATGAAATGGTACTTTGGTCATATTAAAACATTGAAATCCACGAAGAGTGTTGTCTCAGAACAATAAACCGAATGAAAGTTACACTTATCTGCAGATTGTCAGGATTATAGCCTACATGTTTCAAAGGCTAATTTTTTGTTTGCAACTTAGTCACAAAGGTGACCTGTCTTTGTGACAACTAAAGCAACATGCTATTTTAATACTGAGTTACAAGGGGCATAAAAAGCAAATACAGTGAAATAGGCTAAATATGTCCAGATTAATGAACAGATATATATCCATTAAAATAGTATAACAAGAATAATAAGAATAATAATAATAATAATAATAATAATAATAATAATAATCACAATAAATGTAAGTAACATCAACCAATGTTTGTTACTGCGTTTTAAATGAAACTGTTTTGTTCAGTGAACAAGTGTCCTCAGTGCAACTGACTAACTATGCACTCTAAAATGCTGTTTTCAGTACACTGGAGAAGAGTAATGGAGGGGTGGGGGTGGGGGGGCGGTTTGTGCGGCCCACTATTCCCAACCTTCCATCACTGCTCATCTGATACATTCCAATGAGCAGGTTCTTCCTCCATAACGCTCATAATTAGAGGGCCTCTGTTTGTGTTTAATTTAAAGCAGACCTCTAAACCTTGTTAAGCAAACATTGAGGGGAACTTTGTCAAAGATGTGGCAGGACTGTGTGCCCAGTGATTATAGTGCTCTGTCACTGTAGGCTCAAAGAGCAAGGTGTGCTTGTTCCCAACAGAAGATGATGATACATTTACTAGAAGAATGACAAAACACACACACACGCACGCACACACGCACGCACGCACGCACGCACGCACACACACACACACACACACACACACACACACACACACACACACACACAGCAAATAAAATATTTTCCTGCAGAGTATAAAATCCCCTAAATTACATACCGCGCCCCACACACACACACACACGCACACACACAAAAGCATATTTCAAACACAAAGTCTTTATTTTTAAAAGCACAATTTGATGTTGTCACACAAATTAAGTGTTTGAGGTTGAAAACCAAGAGTACTGCCTGCAGTCCTTATCTATATTATATATTTAGTATACATCTTATGCGGACAGTATATTACAATACATATATTCAGCTCAAATTTTAAACTTAGCAAGAATAAAGAATAAACATTCAAAAAAATAAGATAGATACTGACACTGGACGCATTTAGGACACAGCTTCAAAACATACATCAAACATTATATATTGCCTCCTGTAGGCCTTGCATTTTGAGCTAAATATTTAGCACCATGTCAATCAGGGACTGTGCAACATCTGCTGGCCTGTTACAAAATTCATAGGTAGACTATTAACAACCCTTCGTGCATTGGAAACTAAAATAAATTTGGAATGTCAGTAAATAACTTGTGGTTTGGTTTTTTCTTTCCATTTGTTTACCTCATCTTCCTGAAAAGCAGTAATTCAGTCAGTCTGTCAGAACTGAGCACATGTTTTGCAAAAGGGGTTCTTGGCATACTCTGTGATCATGCTCTTAGTTTTGGTACAATCAGGGGTGCTGCCAGGAATTTGGGACCCTTGGGGGAAAAAAAAACTGCTTTCAAAATTAAATTTTCCTGGGCCCTTGTCAGTCATGGGCCCATAGAATCGTCATCACTTTCCCCAAATCCAACCCCCCACCTCTCATGTCGCTAGTGGGTACAGTACAGTAAACAGTTGTGGTCCAATGGACCACACCTTCCATGACAAGATGAGAAGCTTGGACTTACTCACAATTTTGGTAACTGTTTATCCGTCATCAACCCAAATAAAATTCATTTTTTTATTGGTTCAACCTAATACAGACTATTTATGTATTGAACAAAGATAAACTGTTAAATTATGAGCTGCTTTACATCCTTGGAAATTTTTGATATTATTATCATTACAGTCACAATACTGTGAAGACAGTATGTATTGTAATGTAAACTATCTGTGTCCCACTGAATATATTATTTTTAGATAAGTACACCATGCTATGGAGATTTTTTTTAGGTTAAACCTGACAAATAACAGATGACAAATTCACGGTATAAAACTGCTATTTAGATAAGGAATAGAATGGGAGAAAACAGGACAATACTTAGTAACATACTTTCCACCACTGTCTGTTCCCAAGATTACAGATGTTTTAAATTCAGGGCAGCCAGCACACACTGACTGGTATGTACAAAGACGATAATGCTCATTTTTGATTGACATGGTCAGAGAGCAAATACTGTATACAATGTTTTATGACTGTGGTTTGGCATAGTCTACAACTGCACCGCACACTGCAAAGCTAAGACTACATATAACTACATGAGAAGGGCAAAATATTAGCCACAATTCCGAATATGATGCAATTCAGGTCAAGCCACTGCAAAAAGAGACCACAATAATAAACCACATAGTTAAATCAGTAAAAACTGAACAATACTATCTTTTTTATTAAGGTATAGATTTATGCATCTAATTGATTGTGCTTGAATGTGATTGCGATCCATCAAAGTCACACGCATAATTAAAGTACAGTAGAGCGGGGAATGTATGGTAGGAACTATTCTCTTAGTACTTCATGTATTCATTCTTCAGTCTACTGAGCCGTGTGCCATGGCTGCGGACGATAAGCGAGAGCAGCTCATGTTTGTCCCTCAGGCCCAGAGAAATGTCCAATGTCTCCTTCAGGGTGTCCCGGGTGCTCACGATCATGTTGAGGAAGTCGTCGCTGAGCCGGTGCTCTTCCTTCAACTCGCTCTCCTTGCTCTGCTTGAACTTCACCTCGAGCTCCAGCAGGGACTTCTCGGAGTTCGTGAACGCGTCACTTATTTGCGTGGTCTCTCTCCGCAGATACTTCCCGTAGCTGTCCTCCCCGTCCAGGTCGTACGAGATGCTCCTCCCTAGCCCCTCCAGCAGCCGGGCAGAGTCCTCGATGTGCCGCTTGATGATGGTGAAATCGTCCCGGATAACCGAGTCCTGGTCCTCGTCGGGACCGCACTTTCGTTCATCGGTCATTCGGAAGAGCAGTTGGCATTTCTCCGGGTCGTCGTTCTCCTCGTAGTCGCCGTCCGGCACGAAGTAGTGGTGAAAAGTGCCGTTCGACATCTCTGGCTGGAGAGGTCCGCTGTAGTAGGCTCCACACAGACGCAGCGTCAACATTCCCGCACATAGAAGCAAGTGCGTAAAATCCATTCTGATGTTCATAAATAAAGTCACTTGCACACGATCAACTCACTGTGTTGCTGAACGATCCGGTATAGACTTACTCCAGTCCACACGGAAGCATTTCGAGCGGCTTTTAAACTTTCAAAGCCGCTCACTTTACTTGCGCATCGCTCTCGTCGAAGTGTATCCTCTTGCTGCCGCAGTGGTGTAAAAAGTGATCGAGTGTTCTCTCAGTGGTGCGTGGCAGCTCCCACCGCGCCGCTGGAAGAAAAGCGAGCTTCTGAGTGGAAACCATTCAACTTCCGACTTTGGTTGGTGCCACAAACGCAACATCTGGACGGTTGAAGGAGTTGTGCGAATTTTACCTCAACTCGTCTCGGATTTCATGTCGTCACTTCAAGGCAGCACTCGGGTTGAAGGGGTCAGTCTGCTACTACTTGAAAAACAGGAGCAGTTGCTGGCTTTAGCAATTGGAGTGAATTGCACACCAGTGGCTGCAATATAATTTACATTGGCACATCACCCCCTCCACCACAAAAAAAAAACAAAAAACTGTCCCAAAAAAGTAGAAGCATGGAAAGGTGTCCTGACACTAACTTTTCGAACCATGTCTATTTCTTTGAAAATATCAATCAATTGAATTGAATGCATACATTATATATATTTCAAATTTTATGCAATGTACCAGCTGTGTAGATTAGAACTATGCAGAAACATTCATCACTGACTGCTGCGTGGTCTAAATTCGTCTCTGGTTTCAGCATAATAGCCTACTCAGTCATTTTTATAGGCTCGTATAAAATGTAGTCAATACTATCCAACATCGTCACATGTTCAAATCTCTCTGTGTATTTTCCATCTTTCCCTTCGGCTTGATTAAGGCTGGTAACATTTAGAGTACTGTAGTAAATGTTTTGCCTGCCATTTGTCAAGTTTTAGTTCTTGTACATATATTTAAATGTATTTATAGAGGTTAAACTTGCATCCAAAATCCACGTTTTCTATTCATTTTCCGTTGAAGCAGCGAATTCCGAATTAACTCTAATGGTTTACTGAAGTTGCTTTTCCATGACAGATTCCAGTCCCACACCACACGGCATGTCACAGCACGGCACAATAGCAGCATGTTTGGTTCTGCCAGAACATTTCTCGACCGCTGGTTTTGCGACAATTCAAAATATAAATTTCCATTGCATTATGGGGCAACAACACAAAGTACAGCCCATCAGATACACAGAAGCGTTCACATATAGAAGAGAAATCAATTGTACCTGTCAGAACATCATTACCTTGAGCACCAAAGCACGATGTGTTTGGCTGATGGCAGTTCGGCACATGACTGACAACTTCATAGGACGCCTAAATGGTCTTGGCTACTGTTCATTCAATTCTCAAGTTTTTGAGCACAAAAGAACTAATGGGGTGCGTCCGAGTGTGCAGTGAAAGCTGCAGCATAAGAATATATCTTATAAAATGTAGAGGATTTGCCTGTTATTGATGCCAGCCCAACAGACCTCAACATCTTGAGCCACTCCATTGCTGTTGCTGATATCCTGGAATTAATTTTAAAAAATTAAAAAATAATTAAAAAAATAAGAATTGGTGATAGTCATGGATCAAGCCACATATACCAAAGCCCAAGAGATACGCTGACAGATCACTTCTTACATGGACAGCCTTATTAAAAGGATTGGAGAATTTAACACATCAACGGTATACCTTTCCTGCATTATTTCAATTAACTATAAATGCATTAGAATTACAAATAAACCTACCTGCGGTGAGCACCATTTCTCACAGTCATGGGAGTATTACCTAGTTGCAATATTGTTAGTCGGTTAGTGGTTAATGAATTAAAATGTCACATATGTCACGAAGATGGTTAAAATGCATCTTGTAATGTCCAGTGTGTAATAAAATTAGCTTATTATTTTTGACAAAATTCCAAGGTCTTTTTCTTAACTTTGTAAAATTCGCAAAACAAAGTATGCCACAGAGGACCATATTTTTAGAACATTTACATGCCCTCTGTAACCTCTTCCACTATGGCTATTCAAATGAGGGTAACCTCAACAAAATACACTTCATAAACTAATCCGTAACTTCATTGGAAGTCACACACAGTGAGTGCGTGGCTTCGCTCTTCATGACTGAAGCTAGCCAGCAAATAAAAGGTTGAGGATAACTTTACTCGTAATAAACAAGGCCAAACTTTACACAGCAAATAAATAGCATAGCTAGCATTGTCCTACAACATTTCTACTATTCTGCAAACGTGGAAGCTGCTCCCTTTTGCTTTTGATATCTCGTGTTTCGCTATATAAAGTGAACACCAACAGCTGAACGTTGTTTTCACCAACAACTGTTGCATATGTACGCTTGAGATTGTCTGAACAACATCACATCAAATGTAGCTTTGCTTGCTGTTGGTTCAACTGATTCATTCAAACATTTCTGTGAGAAGAGTGCACAGCACAATATGCTATGCTCCAAAAATTCAGATTCTGCATTTGTTTTTAACGTCCAATTCGCATCTCAATTCAACTCACCACAGATGCGTGCACAGTCCTAGTTGTTTACATCTATATTGAAGGCACAGCCAGTAGATCTCGCAGTGCAGTCCAGTTGCACACCATCACAAATTAAAGCCATAATTAAATAAATAATAAATAAATAATTAACAGGACAATAAATTTTTATGGATGGGCCGGTGGTCCAGTGGTTAGCGCGTTGACCTCACAGCGCAGAGATATCAGGGTCAATCCCAGCTTCGGCCTCCCTGTGTGGGTTTTCTCCGGGTGCTCCGGTTTCCTCCCACATTCCAAAAACATGCATGGCAGGCTGATTGAACACTCGAAATTGTCCCTAGGTCTGTGTGTGAGGGCGGATGGTTGTTCGTCTCTGTGTGTCCTGCGATTGGTTGGCAACCTGTTCAGGGTGTCCCCCGCCTACTGCCCGAAGACAGCTGGGATAGGCTCCAGCCCCCCCTGAGACCCTTGTGAGGATAAAGTGGACCGGAAAATGAATGAATGAATAACATTTTATTTGTATTTTCTTACATGGCATTGGAATGTACAGGTTTGCCTAATGCTGTAACTGGAATGCCATGATGTTTTTTTCACTCTGTGTCTTGCAGAAATGAAAATAAGAAGGCTGTTGTTATCTTTTCGTATAAGAATGTTAATTTAGAAATAAACAGCCTTTTGTGTCCCAATACTACTCAACAATTTCAGTTGAAAAAAGGTGATCACGATTCCCCTCGCATGTGCATATTTTTCCAGTGGAAAATGCAAATGACGCAGCCCACCAGCTTTCCCACTGCATGACTGTTTATTTGGAAGTCTTAGGGTTATGGCTGTCATCCAAAAGGCTTTTAAATTGAAGTGACAGTTTGTTAAGTTTTGGTTTATTTTCTTAGATTTAGTGATGGAACTGAAAAATAAATTTAACATTGAAAATCCTCCTGTAATCCAGCCTGGGCAAATCAGCATGAGTCAATATTGCGTGCTAGGAAATCTGTCTTCATGTCACTGTGGCCCTGATTTTAATCACTGTATTTACGTTTGCCAAGTCTCTGCTCAACAGTACAAGTACTAAAGGGCCCCATCCTGGACTTACTTCAACTTTAACAGAAACTCCTCTGAAAAATGAATATGTAGACTGGGATTTTTTTTTCTTTCTTTTTGTCTGTCTGCCTTTTTTTTTTTTTTTTTTTAAATGAAATGGTCTCATTTCAGAGTTACAGGGAAGAAAGTGCAGTCATTTTAGGTCAAGGTATGTTATTCCGTTTTAAATGTAATGAACTTAATTATAATTATATGTTCTGAAATGAACTCCAGACACTCATATGGGACTGTGCCATGAAATAAACTGAGGCTGTGAAAGTTATTAACTGTAACTACACATGGCATTGCCCTCTAACTCAAGTCAGCTCAATTTGTGTCTCCACTTGCAGCTGAAGGGACTTGGTCAGAAACAGAACCATCATTATTGTTTGGCAAATAAGAACTAAACTCTGTGAAAGCAAACAGGAAAGAAGAACCGCACAATGAAAACTGCTAGTTAGAAAGAGATTGGGAATATTTGTGCGGAAGCATTCAATTGCAAAGTCCAAGCATCTACAGTTTGACGGCCACTTCACATCACATGCAGAGTGTTTAGTTAAGAGGGAGCGAGATGGAGAACCAGGTGTGACAGCGGCTGATGATTAAGTTCATGCTCAATTGCGAGAAGTGACCGAGGACAGCTGTTTAACAGGTATAATAACATGGTGAACTGGCCTGGCAGGTTAGAACTGGCAGACGTGCTTATTGGCAAAAAGGCTGTTGATTGATGGGGCCAGACTTAACTCAGTCTGCAAGGATGGTTCCATCACAGAACACAAACACTAGTTATGCTCCAATGCGGGCATTGCTGTTGGAGTATACTTGAAGTCATATTATATTATTTCACGTGTATTTTTGAGGGCATATTGGCAGAAACACTCACTTGGGGATGGCTCTGGGATTTTTTTCTCTCCCAGGGTGAAACAGGGACTTGACTGATACATAGGGGGACTGAGAAAGTACTTTATTAATATATATTTTAGAGTATCAAGTGAATGCCAGAGTTCTGATGGGCTCCTTTCCCCCGGTAGCGGCAGTGTAGCACCATCCCTGCTCTCACTCCCGCTACTGGTACAATAATACAATTCATCCACTTTCTGTAGTGCTTGTCTTTATTAGGGTTGCGGATGAGCTGGTGCCCAGTTGACTTTGGGCAAGAACAGGGACAAATATGGATTGGTCGCCAGTCATTCATAGGCCACATGTGGATAAGCAGCCATATTCAGACCTATTCAAAGTCAGTAAACCAAACTTATTTTTGTAAAATGGGAGCAAGCTGAATTCCAGGATAAAACCCACACAGCTCAAAATCCACCTCCAGGTGGGATGCCCGGTAAGCGTATGAGGGAAAGAGGCACGATGAGCGGCCTCCCCGCCGAGGCACCGGCATCCCCGGCAACAGACTATGCAGCAACTGCTTGTCTGTGATTGAGATTTCTCAGAGGACTTCCTCGTAAATCTTATAAAGACATATTTTGTTGTATGAAAATAAACATACTCGTTACGCACATTGCCATGTGCATGGATGAATCGTACATCATTACTGTATGTAGATTGCTCCTTGACTCTGGTTTGGGGACGTAAGGCTCCACAATATGTTCTTCCATCTTCATTAATTACTACGATGTACTGTTTCATAGGCGGTGCGCAGTGCAGACAGCTTCAGCATGATGTCATGAAAGAGGTGCAGCAGTCACAAGGGGACAAGCATGGTATAAATGAGCCAGGCTTCTTACTTCCAGGTTATACAAATAGCCACCAAAATAACTCATATTT